TTGGCGTGGGGGTGGTTTTCTCGTCTTTTTTTTTTTTTTTTTTTTGATTTGTGAAATGGAGAGTGAATGAGCACACGAGCAATGCCGTTTGTTTTATTGTCACAACTTTGGCCGGCACAAAATGTTTCACGATGAGAAACGTTACCGCAGCCCACCCACTCCAAATGAAAACAACAAGAAGGAAGAGAAGCACACGACAATCGCTACATGCTAACGAGCAAATGAGTTTTCGCCCTGGTTAAAAAATGTAATTCCCGATGCGAGCTGAGTGAAAAAATGGCCAGGGACGTTTTTGTTTGGATCTTTGATGGGGGGGGGGTCACGCTGAGCCAAGAAGGGGCTCCTTCCCGAAAGGAATCTGGGCTGTCTCTGCATGTTTTCGTCGAGTTGCACGACAGGGCCGCGTGACCTGACCTTTCAGGTGCGAGGTCACCTGAGTTCATTCGACTACAGTAGCATCGATTTCATTTGATTTTCTTTCCAGCGTGGCCGTAATACTCCTGCGTACACGAGCAGAGACCCCCGCCACAACCCCACCCCCGTCCTTTGTTTGCCGGCTGGACCGTTCAAAAGTCAAGAGTGTCACTCGAGTTTTTTGCCACGGGATTTGTCTCACTCGCTTGCCAAGTACAAAGAAGAAGCACGTGCGGCAGAATATGAACCGAGTCCAGAATGCCGCTCGGTCTGCTCCGGAGCGGCGTCAACACGGTTTGTGAAAAGCGCAGCGGCGGGCGACGCCGTTCAGCAGTGGATCTCGTAGCCCATCCGAGAATCCACGAACAAGCCGGCGTGGTTGACGAATACCCCCTCGCCCTCGGACGTCATGACCGGCTCCGCCTCGCCGCCCTCGCCCGCCATTCTTCTCACGGTCCGAATGTCGCCGTCGGCTTCGCCGGGGGGGAGCGCGGGCGGGCCGGCCGCCGAGGACCCCGAGAGGGTGCTGCGGGCGGGGCCGGCGCCGGCACGGGTTTGGCGCGGTTCAGGACGAACATCTCGTGGCCGCGCTCGTCTCGGAACTCCTCCAGCTGGGCGAACGTCGTCGGCCCGTCCGAGTAGTCGTTCACGTACAGGATGCTCTCCTCCTGATGCGCAAGAACAGCCAGCGCCACATTTTCATTGCGGTCCTCGCTTTCTGACGCAATTTCATTGAAAACCAGCGGGGGTGGAAACATTGATTAGTCTTGCAAAATTTGGAAGATTTCGGGAAAAAAATGCTTCCACAACAAAACAAAAAAGAAAAGAAGGGCCTTGCTCTCTTAATCATTAAAAACAAGCAAGATGTCAGTTGATAACATCGGGAGCATATCGGGCGCGAACCTTGTGCGCGGCGAGCGCGTTTTTGTAGCCTCGCAGACGCCGGCTGTA